GGAAGCCTGGGGTTTTTAAGCACTAAATTAAACAGCCTAGAATCACATAAAGGAACAAGGGGTAACTAAGTGAGACATGCGGGTGCCCCCTAAATGGGAACTCTATATAGTCACACAAAATGCACCCCCAGAAACCATGAGATTTCCTGGTTCTTTCAAGAGAATCTGGAAGACCAGATTTTGGGGGCATGAATTTTTAAAGAGGGCCATCAGATCAAACAGCCTGTAGCTATACTCCTAGCTGAGTCCCTCTGATGCTGGTCACCCCAACCCACACCTCTTCTCTTGAGGCCAAGAACCCAGGGGCGAGGCTGAGTGAGACGAGCTGGTTCAAACTGCTCCTTGCACTTACGGGCACTATGGGAGGAAAGGGCCCGGCCCTCAGTCACGCGGTGCAGCGGCAGAGGGGAAGTGGTCTTTCCTGCCTCCCCACCTCCCCACCTGCCCCCACTCACCGGGCCTACGATGTCGGAGACATGGGAGACAGTGGTGCCTGAGGCGGCCCCGAGGTAGAGCACCTTGGCCCCTGGCTTGATGTGGATCTGGTCTATACCGCCCAGGATTGCTGCCGCCAGCTTGGAGCGGAAGGGGTTCCAGGCTCGGTACTCGATTTTGTCATCTCCCTCCTGCACCAGGAGAGACGGGGATGGAAGTCAGTGCCAGGCTCTTCTGCAGCACCTCATCGCCCGTGACCGTAGGGCCCTCGAAAAGGACTGGGCAGTCCCATCAAGAACTGAATGTGGGTACACAGCAGTGACCATGACCGATGCGGTCCCTGCCCTCTCACGGAGGTTACTGACTCAGGAGAAGGGGCAGCCGCAGAGAATAAACACGAAGAGTAACAGTAAGACCCAGGCGCTCGTTCAGCAAACATCCGCTGTGCCAGCACTTGCAGTGTGCCCGCCCTTGCTCTAGGCACTGGCGATACAAGACGAAGATCCCTGCCCTTAAGGCGCAAGAATTCACTGAACTCACTAAACATAACATGGCGTATCAGGTGGTGACAGGTGCTAAGGAGAGAAGATCAAGCCAGGAAAGAAGATACGGAGTACGCGGAGCTGGGCGGGGAGTAGGTCAAAGCGAGAAAGAGGGCCGGGGAAGAGCTGAACCGTAGGCTTCTCATCAGACCTGAAGGCAGCCAGGGCCACCCGAGTTACCTGGCGTAGCGCGAAAGCAAGGAGGAAAGCCGCGAGGCAAGCACGTGCCTGGCCGTAAGGTGACATGGGATGGGCACAAGGGGTGGGCAGGGAGGGCTGCTTTTGACAGTCGGGGTGGTGGCGTGAGGTGGCTTTGTCAGAAAGACAAGGGGACACCTGGCCAGAGACACAGATGATGAGAAGGAACCAGCTTCACACGGAGCTGGTAGAGGAACCAGTACGGAGGCGAGTGTGGCTGCAGGGCACTTAGTCAGGGGGACAGTGGGAAGAGACGGGGCCAGGGAGTGGGGAGGGGGAACTAGAACGTGCAGAGCCTTTGAGTGCACAGTGAAGACTCGGGACTTTAACCTGAGGGCACTGGGGAGCCACAGAGGCGTTTGAGGAGGAGAGTGGATGGCGTGTCTTATGTATTAAGATGACTGCCTGGCTGTCACATGTAGGACACAGGGAGACCAGACTGCTGGCTACACCATCGACTGGGACCCTGGTGGCTCGGTCAGGGGCCCAGGTCTCACCGCAATTGAGACTCTCTTCTCTCCATAAACTGATTCTCCAGGGACCAGATTCTTGGTGACTAGTGCATCTTCCTTTCCTCGACAAATGAAGACACCTGGGTGAGGGGATCGAAGCAGGGGTGAGGACTCCCGCCCCGCTCCACCCCTAAGCTCAGCCAGTTCCGCGCCTTCCTCACTCACCCTCGTGCCGATGAGGTTCCACCATGACATTCTTCCCCGACTGGTTTCCTCTCTTTCCTCCCCGACCACGACCCCGGTTGCCACCAGCCTGGAAGCCTCCACCTATAAGGGAGAGATGCAGTAAGAGAGGGAGATGCCAAATCTCTTCCCTCCTCGATCCCCACCCCAGGGAAGGCCTCCCCCATCACCCCTGGTCAGCTTCAGTTACCTCTTCCTCCTCCTCCGCCACCTCCTCCTCCTCCTCCTCGATCCCCACCCCAGGGAAGGCCTCCCCCATCACCCCTGGTCAGCTTCAGTTACCTCTTCCTCCTCCTCCGCCACCTCCTCCTCCTCCTCCTCGTCCACGGCCCCTAAAGCCTCCACCTCGACCTCTGCCCCCGCCAAAGCCTCCTCGGCCTCCACCGCGGCCTCCACCACGACCTCCACGGTCACCAAAGCCCCCTCGGCCGCCGAAGCCACCCCCACGGGGACTGAAACCTGTGGGGGAAACAAAAACAAGTATCAGGAAAATGAAACTTAAAAGGTTAAAACCACCGTGTACCCAGCAATTCCATTCAGGCAAGCAACTGGAGAAAACGTGTGTCTATGTGCACCAAGACACATGTCCAAGAATGTCCCCTGCCCAGCTCCTGCAGACACTCGCACGGCCCACCCACTCCTTCACTGCGTTCAGGAATCTGATGAAACGTCACTTCCTCAGAAGGGCCTTCCCGGGTCACGCTACATGTCAATTATCACACATGGCATTTTTAATATGATGACTGCCTGCCTCCCCCTCTAGAATCAAGCTCCAAATGGACGGAGATTTTTAATTGTTTTGGTCATCACCACATCCCTAGCACGCTGCGCCACATGTGGCACAAAGTATGGGCTCAATGAATATTAAATGAGCAACTGTTCGCTGATGACTCTTAAACCCCTGGGTCCCGCTAAGGAGAAAGCACCTTCTGTGTTCATTCAGAAAGCAGGTGAAACTCAGCAGTGACCAAGGGGACCCTGGTCTCTCCCCTCAAGCAACTCTTGTATCCCCTACAGGGAGACCAGCCGCACCACTGCCCTTCACCATCCTGGAGAGGAGGGAAGGTTTGTGGGAGTCTAGAAAACTCCGTCTGCAAGATGGAGACCTGGAGATAACACAGCGCCTACCTCATAGAATTGTAAAGACCAAATGATGTAATACACACCAAGCACGTCACATAATACACTGCCTGGCACATAGTTTGAATATTATTACTCAAACTCAGGGCAATGAGTGCCGTCTCCCCCCTATTCAAGGGAGAAGCTGCTAGTTAAGCCCATGAAACTTTCAATTCGGGTCCCATAGAAAAGACACCTGGGAAATGCGGGCAAGTTCACGGGCGCAGTGGGCATGAGCGCAAACTTTCAATCCCAGATACTCGAAATATATCTTAATCCATTTCAGGTCCTGCGGCTTTCATAACAATGTACCAAAAGTACCCACTCCTCAGAAAAAACAAACGTTCGCACAAACTTTTCTGGGAAGTTTGGTGGGGCGGGGAGGGGTTTCCACAAACCCCCTGGCTTAAAATC